GCTGATATTGTTGTTTATTTGCTGACATGTTTGGATGCTGGATTATATCTGTTGATGCTATGCTATTAGCTTGTTATTATTATGTTGCTGTTGTTGAGACTATGTTCGGCTGTGTTGCCTTATTTGGTGAGCATGGGGATTGTCCATGCCACATTGATTGACTATATCTTGGTTTAGATTTGAGCTGTAATAATGTATCAGGATTATGTCCGGACTACGTGTTGTAGTTCTGTGATTTTAGATACTCACTGTTACTTATTTTATGAGGTATTTCAGTTAGTTGTCTCTTCCAATTATATACAGGCAATTTTTTTATGAAAATGATTAAGTAGTCAACTTGGTTAAGTATAATGACGTCATAATTGAAAAAAAAAGATATTCTGCATTTTTAAATTAAGCGTGGCTTAATACGATGATATGTTAACAAACTGGATGCATACGAGGTGTTACAGATTGCACACAATATATTGTGTTCGGTGTTTGATTTCAACATGTATTTTCACTAATATCAAATACATAATTTACCTCTCTACTTAATTAAAAATACTATATTTTAACAATAATTTACCTCTATACTTGATTCAAAATACTATATTTTAACAAATATGTTTTGAAATAATTTCTTGGTTCTTCTTGTAAAATAGTTAAGGCCAAACCTACCATTTAACACCCCGTGTATATCTGGTTTGTTAACATGTCATCATATTAAGTCACGCTTAATTTTAAAATGCGGAATAACTTTTTCTTTTCAATTATGACGTCATTATCATTACCAAGTTGAATTACTTAATTCATTTTCAAAACATTTCCTGTATGTAAATTGCAATTAAACAGCTATCTACACAGAATAACCTCATACATAAATAGTGAGTATCTAAGTCACGGAGCTACAACACATAGTCCGGACAATATCCTGATACATTATACAACTCAAATCTAAATAAGACATAATCAATCAAAGTGGCATGAACAATCCCCATGCTCACCAAATAAGGCAACAAAGCCCAACAACAGTCTCAACAATATCAACATAATAACAAGATAAATAGCATGTCAGCATCCAAAGCATATCATCATAAACAACATATATCTCAGCTAAGCTCTGGCCTCCTACCGCTAGAGTTCTCAACCCCCGCATTGCCTGAACCTAAAATATATGCCCCAAACGTGGGGTGAGATCTCTAAACAGAAATCTCAGTAAGACAAGTGGTCCTCAAGGATTTTCCAACACAAGCTCACTTACATGTGCAATATAAGTTCTAAAAGCAGTAATTCAATATCAGTTCCAAAACCAGTGCAATGCAGCAGATAATCATGTCATGTGTGTTATAACTAATCCACTGGCCAGAGAGGTGCAGGAATACGTCTATTACCCACACAGTACGCGCCCATGTCGTACCTGTCCACAGGAACACATCCCGTCTAGGCGAACACCACATACATATCAATATGCATTTGCACTTAACATCTCAATAGCATTTCAATAAAACAATACATGAAAACACATCATGCATATAACCATCCCCCCATGGGACATGGTGGAACCAACAATGGCTAAACCGAGGACACGAAAGCTTACCTTGCAAGCTAACTATCCAAGCCAAGAGTTCACACAAGCTCAAAGTCCACAAACAGCAAGATCACAATCTGTTTTAGACCAACATTCATATCAATATTCATACTCTACAAGCAAACGACATAAAGACAACGCCTTTCCTTTACATTTCATGTCTTTAGGCTTCTCACAAAGCCATACGCCCTTAATCACTTTGATTCTGACTTAAATATCCATTACAGAAGTTCAACTTCATCAATCTAGGGTCCACAAACCCATAACTCAGTTCTGTATGAACAGTACAGTTACTGTCCTCGAAAACCCAGAATATCCGGATATGTTGGGGCCATATCCGGATATCCATATTTGGATATCTACAGACCCCATATCAGGATATCAATATCCAGATATCATATCCGGATATTTCGCGATAGAATGCAGTTTCTGCATTTTGCGAGATATCACTTCCAAGGTTGGGTTTTTAACCCATTACTACGTCCAAACATGCATTTTTACACTCTTTTAGGTTCATATACTGGTTGGTTACTTAAACAACTCAATAAACATGCCAAGACACCATTTTTAACCATTAAAACTCATAATCAAGGTTTGTGAAGCTTACCCAATGTTCAAACTCAAAAAAGGTTGCTCTTGGAGCTCACCAAACAGCTTCAAAGGTTCTGACTTTGAAGGTGCACGAAAATAGCACACCACAATGGTTCTTTCTCTTCAAAGGTCACACCTTGAAGCTCAAAACACCATGATAAAGGCTCTCACAAAGAAAGCTCACAACTCAGCCCCACAAGAACCCTCAAACAGAACCTATACTCTGAAAACAAAAGCCTTTCCCCCACCCAAGTCTCAATCACACATAACCATGGTGATATGATGAAGAAACAATGAAGAAAGGTGGTCACTTTGGCTCACCAAGTGGAGAAGAAGGGGTGACAAGGTGGCTGGTGGTGTTTCAGAAAAATGGAGGCACGTAGCATGAGAGGAAATGACCTAGAAGTCTGTGCCTCTTAGTATTTATAGGTGGATTACGTTTAATCACACTGTATTAGCGCTAATAGCTACGCTTAGCATTTTAATCCCAAACTTAGGATTCTGAACCTACTAATTTTTCTAAGATTTTTCATATTTTTATTTTATTTTTCGCAGCACCTTTCCGGTACGCGCTTTTACTTAGCCAGTATCAGTTCTAGCACCAGTTCTCATTATTTTGACCTGAAACTTGTTATGCTAGTCTTACATATTTTTCTAGTGACATATACATACTTTTCATAATTTTCTGGGATACTTCATTGGTACACATTTATACCGTGGAGCATAATCGATATCTGCACTTTTCGTCAGAAAAACGACTTTCAGCATTTTTAATCACTTACTATAATTATTTAAGTCTTATCATAATTATTGGGGTCAATTATGAAATTATTTCCTAATTCTCATATTTATTTAATTAATTTCCTAAATTAACGGTGCAGATCCTTACATACCACATAAGCAATAAGTGTCATGACAGAGTTAAATTGATAAAACACTCATAAACCTTCAAAAAGTAAAATATCTCTTTCAAAACAAATGGAAAGAGGACTTTTTTAATCTTTGATGAATATTCTCCTTCTCATGCTTCTTAGATAGCATTATCCTCAACATGCAAATGAATTTAGTATTGAGACACTTTCCAAATTGACATACTAGGAATCTTATAAATTTGGAGAGAGAGTATTAAAGAGGTAAAAAAGGGATGAATTTTGAAGGAAAAAAGAAGAAGTGAATGTAAAATCCACAAGTGTGCACCTCGTATGACATTCGAGTGTAAAATATGGTTTATGAAACGACAACAATTTTCAAAAAACTTAGGTGTTGTTTGGATGGGCTTCTTCTCATGTAAAAGCTGTTTTTTTTTAAAAAGTGCTTTTAGAAAAAAATTTATGTTTGGATATTAGCTTTTAATAAAACAGAAGCTAGGAGAAAAGCTAAAATGTTGCTTTTTTTTAAAATTTTTTTTTGGCTTCTTTCAAAGGATAAGTTAAAAGGTATTCAAAAACTCTTCTTACCAATTTTATCCATCAATCCCATTGGTTCATATCACTTCTCATCTGCTGTTAGCTGTGAGTTTCTAATACACTTGGGTTTTGAGAAAAAAGAAAGAAAAACTTTGATGACTGATTTGGTACTTAGAGTGTGACAAATAGCAATTTGTTGCATTTTCTCTCTCCCTCTATGCTTTGTTCACTTTTGGCCCTTGCGCACATACTCTTGTCTAGGTAGGTTCCCTCTAAGGATGTCATAGGATTTGTTGCACTGCTAGTTTGCGACTTCAAGAAGGCATTTTGAACTGTTTTGTTTCACTTTTTTGAATATTGAAGTTGAATATTTAGTCTTCATGAAACAAATAATAATAGATAATGAAGGATTACATAATGTGAAAGATTCTGTTATGAATTTCTCTTTCTCCGTACTCACTATGCTTCTTCCCCTTTTCTTCTCTTTCTCAATCTTAATATTCCTCTCTCTGCAACTATCTTTTTCCCTTATTCCTGTCTTGACCTGTTCCACATCAAGTAGTGCGAAAACAAAAGAAAAAAGAAAAAGGTTGGCAATCTACTAACTGTTCGGTGGTGGCGGGATGGAAGGAGTCGACAACGATAGATCTAAGCGAGAATGTGTTCCTTTAGTGGCAACACACAATATGTGCAAAATGCAAGGGCATAACGGTAATTTTATATTTTAAAGTGCTTTTTATTTTAACATTTAAATAACATTTTTACTTAAAAACACTTTTTAAATATTGTATCCAAACGCAAAATAATTTTGACTTTTAAAAAAAGCAACTCATGAAAAGCCTCTTTTTCAAAAGCCCATCCAAATAGGTCTTTACTCATATTATACTAATTACAAATCTTATCTTAAAATAAAAAAGAACGATTAGCAAAGGTTAACAAAGTCTAACAGATATTAAGCTTTTAAAGACTCATTTAAATTTTTCAAAAGTATAAGAATTCCATTAAAAATCTCTTAAACTAAAAATACTCTTAGAATAATTTAATGAGGAAGGTTATTCTTACAACTTATTTTCGTATATAATTTCTTACAATTATATTTTAATCGTTGATTTCCGCCAATCAATGGTTATTATTTTTGCAAACAAACTCATTAATTAATTATTAATTCGTAATAAATAGTAACTGTTGTTTGATGGAAATCAATAATTAAAATATAATGGTAAAATGTTATAAACAAAAATAGATTGTAAGTATAACATTTCTCTAATTTAATATAAACAATATTTAAAGTTCTTAATCATCTTTTTCCAATATTCAAATGAACATACTTTTATTCTTTAGGTCAACATGCTGAAGGCCCAACCCAACGCAAAATTCTCATAAAACGACGTCGCGACACTTCTTACCCCGTAAACCCTAAACCCTAGCCGATTCTGATTTTTCTGAAGAAGAAGAAGAAGAAGGAACACAAACCGCAACTCACAGTCCACAAAGTGCTACACATCCTTCAATGGCACCTGCGATGAAGAAACCCTCGAAACCACGCAAAGCCCCTAAGAACCAAAAGAAGACCCAAATATTCACCCCCAAAGATGATTCTAGCGCCGAATCCGAAGAAGAAACGCTGCAACCACAACAACTACTCGAACGCGAACTCGGAGACGACGATGACAACTCCTCCGGTTCGGCTTCGGAGTTCTCTTCCGATGGGGACGATCCATTAGTCGACGATTTCCTTCAAGGAAGCGATGAAGAAGGTGTGTATGTGTGTGTGTGTAGGCTTTTGCAACATTGGAGCTCGGGGTTGTAATGGTGTTTTGATTTGTATGCTGTTCTTTTGCAGAGAAAGCCTCAGCTTCGGGTTCAGGTTCGGATTCTGATTCTGATTCGGATGATGATGATATCGAAAAGAAGTCGAAAGCTATTGATGAAGAAAAGGCAAGAGAAGAAGAGGACGCAGAAGCTGAAATGCAGCTCAACATCCAAGAAGAGTCTGATGAGTTTAGATTACCAACCAAGGAGGTTTCTTCTTCTTTTTTAATAAATTTATCTTTACTTGAATTTTTCTTTTGACCCTTATGGCATGTTTGGATTTGCTTAAATTACAGGGGAAAATTCCTTATAAGCTATTTTGAATACAAAATAAGTTGATCCAAGCATGCTTTGAATCTTCTGTGCTTGGATTTTACATTAGTTGTTTGAATGGGTGGTAAAATTGGTCACTTTTTTATACTGTTAGGAGCTTGAGGAAGAGACTCTGCGCCCACCTGATCTTCCCAGTCTCCAGAGGAGGATTAAAGAGAGTAAGTTTACCGTGCTGTTAACTCTCTGTGACTGTTCTCATGAACAATCTTCAGGTTGTTTTGTTAGTTGTTATATTGTTTTAAATGTGTTTCTTTTTCTCTAGTTGTACGTGTTCTTTCGAATTTTAAGGCTCTGAGGCAAGAAGGGACGGCGAGGAAGGATTATGTTGAGCAGCTTAAGAAAGATATATGTTCGTACTATGGCTACAATGAGTTTCTAATTGGTGCTTTAGTGGAGGTTGGAATGATTATACTATTACTGTTTACTACTAATGCTTTGAACTTTAATTTCTCCCTGTTGTCCATTGTGTCCATTTCTTACTTCTACACAAACTGGCTGGCACTGTTAGGGGAGTTGTGTTTAATTAATTTTTAATGAGGGTTTGCATGAAAGCTTTTTGTTTGTTTTGTCTCAGATGTTTCCAGTTGTTGAACTTATGGAACTGATTGAAGCCTTCGAAAAGCCTCGCCCTATATGTCTGAGGACTAACACTTTGAAGGTTGCATGTCCTTTTCTGTCATTTTGGGTTGATATGTTAATGTGGACTTATCCATGTTCCCTATTGACTGTATTTATCTGTCTTCTGCATACAATCAGACTCGCAGACGGGATTTGGCCGATGTTTTGATTAATAGAGGAGTAAATCTGGATCCTTTAAGCAAATGGTCAAAAGTGAGGATTCATTCTTTGTTTTCTTTTATCTTTTATTTTTTGGTTATTGTTATCATGCAAACAAGAAACAATCTAATAGGGAACCTAGATAACATTTTCTGTAATCCACAGGTTGGACTGGTTGTGTATGATTCTCAAGTACCAATTGGTGCCACTCCTGAGTATATGGCTGGTTTCTACATGGTAGGTGGTTTTCTAATATTGTGGTTCCTCATTGCATTTCATTTAATATTACATGATGCCCTTAGTACTAGTTCTTTAACTGTTTGCAGCTTCAAAGTGCAAGTTCTTTCCTGCCTGTGATGGCCTTGGCTCCTCAAGAGAAGGAACGAGTTGTTGATATGGCGTAAGTAATAATTCATTGTCTACAGCTTATTAGTCTGAGTTTGGTATGCAATTGTTAGAGAGAACTTCCTTCTGTTCCAAGTGTGTTTTGAGTCAATCATATCAGTTTTTGCTACATATTCTCAGACAAAGAGCCAAAAAGAAAGTAAATATTATACAAAAAAAAAGTAAATATTTCATTTTCAATGTGTCTTGTCAGTAGCGTTTGTTAGTAAAAATTTAGTTGATATAAATTCCCGACTCATAAATTGCATTGATATGATTTGTTGTGCAAATATCTGATTCTTATCACATGCTGGACAAGTATCCTCAAGGGTGAAAATTTGCCAAAGTATACATGTGCGAATATGAATAGGTTACAGCTTATAGTTTATTTTGACTCTTTTTAGGCTGTCCTTATATTTAGTTCTTTAATATAGCTAATTGTTATTGTTTGCCGGTGAGAAAACTTGCTGTCCAAGAATTTTCTCAAAATTCACATGGAGACTAAGATGTTCTAGTTATCTTTGAGATTTTTACTATAAGTACTTCTTGATTCGAGTAGCAATGCAGAAAGTGCTTCTTTCTTGCTATATTTCTGTGATTGTGCTCAAAGCTTTTTATGCTTCTTGCAGGGCTGCACCTGGTGGTAAAACAACGTATATTGCTGCTCTTATGAAGAATACTGGTATGTATTTTTTTTTAGTTTCCTGTGCATTTAAAACCATGTATACCCTGTTGTTGGCACAAATCAGTTTATAAAGTTCTTTTCATACCGCTGGTTTATATATATGTAACCAGTATTGTGGAAGGGCCGAAGGGGCATGTAGTCAATTATCTTGTGTTTCCGTGCAAGACAAATTACACTTTATATTACTCATTTTGGATACTATCAAATAAGTATATACCGTGACAATACTGTGGTATGTATGCATTATAGCTGATACGTGGTTAACAAAAAAGTTATAATAGTGTGGTTTTTTTGCTAAATTTCTGCCTTTTTGTTGGTATGAACGGTATGTCATTTCTTTATTTTAATGTTATTTATGCTGCTTTTTGCTCATATGGTATCTAGTTTGTAAGATTTGAATATTTTTCAATAATAAGTAATTATTAGCTAAAAGAGTAGAATAGGATTTTGAGGGAAATAACCTCTTTGCAAATATTCAAGGGTAAGGTATGTACAAGGATTGCCGTCACCCCCCCATTTCTAGTCGGGGTTTAATGAGGAATATTTTTTTTATTAGAAACATTTTGCTTTATTTTGGACTGTAAACTTTGTTTTTCATCCTCCGTTTAAACATTTAACTAGTTGAGGTGCTTTTGCTGCATGGAAAGTTGTGCTATAGCTATACACATTAATGCATAAGTAAACCTTCAGGCTTCAGTATCAACATGTAACTTTCCTACCATTTTGTAACACTAGATAATAGCATGAGTTGTTAATTCCTTGAGTTGATATGTGTGTATTTTCCTTTTCATTTTGTGGTCTGGTATTCCTACAGTCTGTTGGATCTTTAAATTTGAGTCATTGAATAAATTTCCCTTCATTTGTTATATCTAATTTTTTTTTTCTAGTCTTTTTTTTATAATGTAAATTCATGTTCTTTTCTTAATATTTTTTGATGGCAGGAATAATTTTTGCAAATGAAATGAAGGTGCCTCGTCTTAAGTCACTGACTGCAAATTTGCATCGTATGGGTGTATCAAACACAGTAGTCTGTAACTATGATGGAAAGGAGGTTAGCATCTTTTACCCTCATTAATTCTTGTTTACTTGTTTATTGCAAAAAAAAAAAAACTTTAATATCTTTACTACTATTAGATCGTATTGTCATTTGGTTTAGTTTTTTATTTGACTATCCATCTGGCTTGTCTGTTCTCCTACATAATTTGTTTGGTTGCTTGACAAATTGTTTGTTGAATTAGTAGCCTTTTTTTGTTAAAATGTAAAGCATTAGTGCTCCCCAAGAATTATTATGAAATGCTAAGAGAAATATCAATAATGTAATATACTTTAGGCATTGGGCGATTGAGCTGGGCCTGTGTCTAGAGTATAAGCCTTTATATTAACAATTATATTAATGATGGTTGTATTGACATTATAAATTTTTTTAGTGAATATAAGAGGCCAGGGGAACTTGTAAATGTATAGGCTGAACACTAGAAAATTATGAGCCCTTTGATTACAAGATTTGCTCATTGATTTTGTCCATTTCATTATTAATTATATTTTTATTGTAAGTTATCCTTGATAAAGGCATACATGTGCATTTTAGTTCAACTCCAGAGATACACATGTCACTGCAACTTGTAATTCTTATAATGACATTATATGTGCCACAAATGCTAATTTCTCTTTAATGTTTACAATGTCCTATTTCAGCTTCCAAAGGTTTTGGGTCTCAATGCTGTTGATAGAGTATTATTGGATGCCCCTTGCAGTGGCACTGGGGTAAGAAAGAGTGAATCATATTAAGGGGTTTATATTTAGTGAGATTTCTTGTCTGTGTTTTTGTTTCTCTTGAAGAACGTAGAAAGTCACTGAGAGTTTCTGTCTGCAGGTTATATCCAAAGATGAGTCTGTTAAAACCTCTAAAAATGTGGAAGATATACAGAAATGTGCTCATCTTCAAAAGGTAAATTAACATTTGCTGAAGATTTTGTTTGGGAGAAAAAGGAGGAACGCCCATTTTCATTTCCTCTGCTACATTTATGTTCCTTCCACCCTCCCATTTAAAGCATGAGTTTTCTGTAGTTTAATGACTAGATTGCTGTTTTTATTTTCAACTCATGATATGATTTTTGAAGATTGATAAGAGTTCTTTTTTTTTTTTTGACATTTCTTCTTCGTGTTAAAATAGAAAGAGTCAAATGGTGCGAAAGTGTGATTAATTATGAAAGCATACTTTTTTACCCTATAAAAATGAAACACATCTAGAATACTGAATAATTGATCTTAGTGCTCTTTTTGTGGTTAGTAAAGTCATATTTCATGTAACTTTTTGACCCTTTAAGTTATGTCTAGAATACTTTTATGTTCTTCCCCACTAAGTTTTATTTATTTTTATTATTATTATTATGATTATTAATTTTTTTTTTTTTTTTTGGGGGGGGGGTTGTTTAGTAAAGTCATATCTAAAACTCAAATAATATGTCACATTTTATATTGTATGCTTGTCCTTTTACTATCATTTAATAATTTCCTTTCTTTTCTACAGGAGCTCATTCTTGCTGCAATTGACATGGTTGACGCTAATTCAAAATCTGGAGGTTACATTGTTTATTCCACATGCTCAATCATGGTTGCTGAGGTTTGTTTTTCAGTTGCATCCATTGACTTTATATGCTTGCCTTTTCATGTTCTATGTTTCTAAAAGTTCACTAAATCTTAATTAGAATGAAGCTGTTATTGACTATGCACTCAAAAAGAGGGATGTTAAACTGGTTCCTTGTGGGCTTGACTTTGGGCGTCCAGGGTAAGGATTTTATTCCCTTCCCCCCCCCCCCCCCCCACACACACAATATTGATTTTACTTATTAGGAATTGTCTATGTATGACATTTGCTTTCCATCAGGTTTATAAGGTTTAGAGAACAACGATTTCACCCTTCTTTAGAAAAGACAAGGCGTTTCTATCCTCATGTACACAATATGGATGGGTTTTTTGTTGCAAAGGTAAATATATTTATTTCAACATCAACAACACCTTTATCTCAAACATGTTCATATTTAATTTTTAAAAATTGATTTACATGTTCGACATTTACATCCTATGCATGAAGCGCTTTTAGAACCCATTCCCCCATAAAAATTTCTATTATTGAAGTTAGCTTTAGATTAATCCAGTAATGCATTTTGGATGAATCGCTAAGATAAGCAATAAATTTGTTGATTGATGAAATTCTTGGTACAAGATTGAAGATCATTTGGGAAATATGCTGTGTTAGTTTGTCAACTGTCGTAGGAGTTAAATAGAATGTTCACATGGTGCTGGGTCCTATGAGTTCTGGTTTAGTTTGATAAATGATATTTTTATTAAAAAGCAAGGTTGGTGAACTGCTATGTTTTCATTAAAACAAAAAACAAATGACAGAATTATATTATTGATTTGAACTTTTTGAAAATATCTTTGTTGAAGTTTTAGCTTAAATTTCACTTACGGAGCAATATAAAAGATATCAATTTTACCTTCCCCTTTCCTTAGTGTTCAACTCTTTAGTATTTACACTGAGTGGTGCTGAAATTAAATATTAGAGGCAGTGATTGCGGGAAGCTGAAAGTGTTGCTATTGTCATGGACTCAAAATAGACTTTCTGTTTTTATATTGTCTAAATTGATATCTTGCAGTTGAAAAAAATGAGCAGCTCAAAGCCAGGTGCAAAACCATCAGAAACATCGGAAAAGGAGGAAGAAAGTTCCAAGCTTGAAATGGAAAAGGAGAAACCAAGTAATGGCATAAAAGAAAATGGCAAAGAATCTTCTGAATCCGAATCCAAAAAGAAGAAAAGGAAATTCCCATCAAAACCAAGTAATGGTGTAAAAGAAAATAACAAAGAATCTTCCGAATCTGAATTTAAAAAGAGGAAGAAAAGGCAATTTCCATCTAAGGAGGAGATTTCCAATGCCAGGTTACATGCTTTCTCCATGTTGACATTAATTTTTGGGCCTACACTAATACTTTAGAGATGAGTATATCTTTATATTCAATAAATTCAATGCTTTCCTTTTAAAATCCGGGGATTTTGTGATTCCTGTAGGGAAAAGAAGAGAAGTGCCTTAAGAGAAAACAAGAAAAAAAGGTGGTAAGCAAAAGAAGTGAAAATGTGCAAAGACCAGTGGCAATGCACGAAGAAGTGATAGCCAATTGTGCAGTTTTAGCGCAGAACTGATTCAGACTCCAACATGATGGGAGTGCTGGGGTGAGATTGCCTGTCATAAAAGTGTATCCTGGAATCAGTGGCATGCCCTAATCATAGGGCCAATTTTTGTTTTGTTTTTAGCTAAGGTATGTTTTAACTCCCATTTACAAAGCTGTAAATCAGAAAGAAAAAGAATTCTTTTTTCTTTTTGACATCAATTTGAATTTATTTTCTAAATATTGACTTGCGGGTTAGTTATCCTTTGTAAGAATTTCACCTGCTTCAAATGATATTTTAATATTGATGATCGATCATGGTTTCAAAGGTTGTACCTTTACTGTTATGTTGTAATGATCAAGTTTACATGGGAAGCGAATTTTATTTGGTATTTTGCTGTGTATTCAGTGTTTCTTTTGAAGTCTTTACTTTGAGATGATTATGGGATATAAATATAGTAGAGCTTCTGACTCGGTTTGTTGAATTATCTCTTTGAAGCTATTTTCAGTGATATTATTATTAACCTTAGGGAAAAGTGGAAACGGCATAAAACCAAATTTCATCATAAAATAACACTTATTGCCAATATAAACATGTAATGCTGAACTTCAAAGCAAACAACAAAAATAAAACCTTAAACAAAGGAAGACCAACTTAGGAATTCTAGTACCTCTGCAACGAATCAAACGTACTGGGCAGTAAGATATGATGCATGACACTTAAGATTTCAGATTCTGTTTGATTGCGAATGCAGATTTAAAGCTAGTTCGAAGGGTTCTGAATTCATCATCAATTTTTGTTTTGCATGGAATCAATTATATATACGTGATATTGAAACTTGAGGTGTAGCGATGTAACAAATGTTAGCAAGTACTCTTATCAGTTTTATGGAGGATGCAGTGATCATCTTCTTTTTGGCAAAATATAATCGACATTCAATTTCGTGAATTCTAAAAGGACATCCTCTAAATTGTGTAAACTTTGCCTCTAAACTTTTTTATTCGTTTAGTTTAGCCCAACCATGATTGAATTTCGTGAGCAACTTCTACGACATTGTGACAGAAGTGGATGAATATAATGTGTGGGGGTTTATACCAGTTTTGAAGGTAAATTACACATCAAATAAAGATGATGATGGTGTTTGTTTTAAATTTATTTTTAAATGGGGAATGTTATTTTTATACTGAAGAGAATAAGAAGTGTACAACAAATAAAGTTGAAGGTGTTTGTTTTAAATTTATTTTTAAATGGGGAATGTTATTTTTATATCGATATAAGAATAAGAAGTTTCATATTAAATTTTTATTATTAATTTGCTTGTATTTAATGACTCATATCTAATAAAACAGAAGTGTTAAGTATAAATAATATCAACAATCAAAATTATAATTTATTCCGGTGTAAAATAATCTGACTATTTTTAAATTAGTTGTGATAATACACGTTATAAATTTAAATTAAAACTTATATATTAGCTCGATAAAATGACGTTACCTGACCAATCAAGTTAGACTCAAATATAAGCCAGTGTGAATAATTTTTTTTTTCTTTCGCATGAGCACATTGCATATTTAGAAAGACACATTTAACAGTAAAATAATTTCAACAAGGGTTTTGTTTATTTCAAGTTTTTGATTAGTTGTACTTAATAAACACGTTTTTACAGAATAATTGTTTAATGAATATACTCTTGTCTTAAATTTGTAATCGTTAAATTTGTAATAGTTAGGATACCAAAGTGAAATTCGCAAAAAAAAAAAAAAAATATGTTTGACATAGAAAAGCAACTTGAGAAATATTTTTTTTCTCATATATATATATATATATATATATATGATCAATGCTATTAGCCAGGGAATTATTCCAGTCAGTACAGCTCAATAACTTGCCACTTTATTCATTTTGAATTTCTAAAATTTTGGATAATAAAGGCAAAAATTCAAGAGTTAAACAAGATAAGAGACACGGTTTCTTTAAAACATACAGAATAAAAATGTAAATTAATACCTTAGTTGAATTTAAATTGAATAATAATAAAAAATAAAATAAAAACCTATATGTTTATTTTTATTTCTCAATAACCAAGATGAATAGTTTATTGTCTTAAAAAAATAAACTTAGACAAACATTAAATGTGTCCAATACACGTTGGGGTTTAGATTAGTTTTTTTTTTAAAGCATTTTTATGAGATAGTTTCATATTTTTTTTTTTGGGTAGAAATTAATCTTTGTAACTATTGAAAAAAGTACTCAATTTTTATTTTGTGTTGTATTTTTTTAAATAAAATTTATCTCATAATCTTAAAATTTCTTAAATGTATTTTTTAAATAATTTCCCCCCCTTAATAAACCACAAACAAGCTCAATATCTAGGATCGTGAAATTATAAAATTGATTATCCAAAAAAAGGATGAAATTATAAAATTGGAAACGTGCCCCAATCAAATAAGTATACTGTAAAGGGGTTCGCAGCTCCAGCTTCAGAAGAAGCGACGCCGTTTTAGACTTTCGTAATGAATTATCTATCTTAAACCCTAAACCCCTTGCTGTTTCTTTCACCCCTGCAAGTTGCAACGAACAGAGAGAGAGAGAGAGAGAGAGAGAGAGAGAGAGACCTGGGACGAAGCACAAAAACGATGTCTGAGGAAGACGAATCAATGTCAGAGATTGAAGAACAAGAACGGACGGCTGGGGAGCACGACAATGACGGAGGAATACTTGATTACATAATGAGCTTGGAGAGTGTTCCATCAAAACTCCCTCCACAAATCGAACTTTTCAGGACCCGTGTTCTTTGCAACAACGATGCTCCTCAGCATGTAACTGTCTTTCCCATTTTTTTTCGTTCTCTTATGATTCGTTTAGTGTTTTTTCCTTTTTAATTCTCATTATTTTGGGTACCCAGTTTCATAAAGTGTCTAACTTGTCAAGTAGGAACGTGCAAGCATAAAAGTTAGGATTCGAAGTTTCACGCTTCTTTTGTATTTTAGAGGATTATGTATTTGTAAAAATTTAGAATGTTGAAATATTCACTTATTCTAAATTTTGGTGAGTTACTTATGTATCTGGTTGGATTTTGTTTTTCAGTTATTAACATTTTCCTATGTTGATGTTTGTAGACAGATACCATACAATATTCTGGTGCTTATGCGGCGTTAGGAGTTGATAATAGTCTGCGATTGGATAATTTTTGTCAAAACTTCAAAGTTGAAGTGAAACGGCTCACTGATGATGACATAGAGTTTGATATGATTGGTATTGATCCAGCACTTGCCAATGCGTTTCGAAGAATCCTTATAGCAGAGGTGAAATATTTATGCTTCCCTCATTATTTACAGTTGTGATGTCATACTATTTGGTTTTTAATATTTTGTTGCATTTGTGAGTGCAATTTCTCTAGCTTAGATGCTTTACCATAGTCTCAAACATTTTCTCTTCTCAATTTTCATTTTCGTAGTCAAGCATTTTTTGTTTTTAAAATCGAATGCCTTGAACTGATTATTTACTGTGCTAGCATGAGGATAAGCCTGTGAATTTGGGCTTTTTTTGGTGGCAGAAGTGATTCAACTTTTATGAATTTTTGTAGAATATAGATAGCTTAAAGCCTTATAGCCTAATACTATACTAAGTTCCAAGATGATGATCTAATATGTGATTTTTATTACTTCATGGTATTAACCACGTTAATTTATCTTGTTTGTAAGATACTTATTTTTTTATATAATATTTTTATGTGGTCCTCTATCTGCCCTGGATAGAAATGCAATTTGACAATCTTTCATATAAGTTTCATTAAATCTCTACCATATTTTATCATGAATTTGTTCAGGTGTAAAATTGTATGATGCATTTTTGAAGTTTCTATAGTTCCTTTATACATCAGATATCTGTAAATTTGATTTTCTGCATGAAAATGTTTCTTACCTTTAAATAAATTGAGGCAACTATAAACATTAGAATAGTTATGGCGTAACAGTCTAGAAAAATGTGATGCCCTTTACAAGAAGGAATTTTTCTTCAAGTCTTAGGCTTTGATGTTTTGATAATGAAAGTTTCTTTTATGAGCTGTTTCTGCAAGCCTGCAGCCTAAAACTTCTCTGGTTATGTATAACATAACATCTCAATTCTTAAATAGTCTTATTTTCATCTTTATGTAATGCCCTTTGTACGTTAGCTTTGAGTTGGTTGTTAGTAGTAATGTAGTATTAGTGGAGATTATCAGATTTTGATGTGGTTGTTATTAATTTAGGTTCCAACAATGGCTATTGAAAGAGTATATATTGCAAACAATACATCAGTTATACAAGATGAAGTTCTTGCCCATAGATTGGGCCTCATTCCAATCAGTGCTGATCCCAGGCTATTTGAATATCCAGGTCTTATATCTACACTAATGCATGCATAATTTTATTTCTCATTACTTATATGGCTTTCTTCTTGATAAATGGAAATACTGTATCTGTTGTTTGATGGGCACCCCTTATATTGCAAACTTGAATGTTTGTTATTTGTCTCTTTCTTTCTTACGAATAGAAAATGCGGGAGATGAAAAGAATGAAAAGAACACCATTGTCTTCAAACTACATGTTCACTGTCGGAAGGGTCAGCCTCGAATTACTGGTAAATTACTTGAAGCTCCTGCTTGATAATGTTTATGTTGCTTTTAATTTTCTATTTAACTAGCACTCTTTCTTGTCTGATGATATTACAATATAAATGCAGTGAAATCAGATGAACTAAAGTGGTTACCTAATGGGAGTGAGCTTCTCTCTGAAGATACTAAACAAAATACTGGTTCAAAACCAAAAACATTTACGTCTTTTAATTGCAGCCAAGAGTCACTTCCTGAATTTTCCAGCAATTCACTTGGTCCCAAAGATTTGGATATTATATTAGCTAAACTTGGAGCTGGTCAGGTAACCCTTCTTTCTTTCTATCTTATTATTATTATTATTATTGTTGTTGTTGTTGTTGTGTACTTTGGTGATAAAGAAAACTGATACAAGGAAGTAAGCTTTAGCTCTTCATTGTGTGTGGGTGAGTGTTGGTGCCAAGAGAGAAAGGGTTTTAACATATATTACATGTCATCCTTGAGTACTTGTGGTCTATGAACCTTAGTTGGAACTTGATGGAAGCTTAGTGCTTAAACCATCAGATTTATATTTGACTCCTATTCCAATTAGGTGAGATTGTTGTTTAGTTGCACCATGGCAATAAGCACTTGTTCATTTCTCAAAGTAAAGAGAAAGGCTAAACAGATCATAATATCGACGTGCATTGTTCACATACTCTCTAAAGGTAGTGTCATCACTCTTCTTTTGGTTTTGGGGTTTAGCGTATATAGAGAAATCATTTACTTTTGTCTTGGGTATTTTCTTTCCGAGTTAACTTGTTTTATAATAGATGAGTTATTTTTCCTATCTACTTGAACTGTTATTTAAATGCTTGTATTTACACCAAACCTCCTTTTTCTCTGCTGATCATAGACTGGAGAGTTATAAAAATGTTAGTTATTAATGGCTTATTTGTTAATACATAAGAATCATTTACTTCTGTTTTAGGTTCTTTATTTTATCATGCAAGGCTCTAAATGAGCTATTTGATTTTGCAAACTTGTTATTAGTTACATATCTTCATATAAAAGACTGGAAGTTATACTTATTACCAAATATCGCAATCACTAAACATATGCTTTTGTAGGAAATCGAACTTGAAGCCCATGCAGTTAAAGGCATCGGTAAGACACATGCAAAATGGTCCCCTGTTGCCACTGCCTGGTATCGTATGCTTCCTGAGGTAAGGGAATATCATATATTTTTTATACTGCTCACATTCACACGCAGCCTACTATTTACAAAAAAACCTGGCATCATTATGTTTGGCTTCTCTTCTCTAGGTTGTACTCCTGAAAGATGTTGAGGACGAGCTGGCGGAAGAACTAAAAAATAAATGTCCAGTTGGAGTATTTGATATTGAAGATATTGGAAAAGGTAATTCAGTATTTGTGTCTGCTCATGGCATCAGATTCTTGTCTTTCTATTGTGGAGCATGATGGTGAAGGATAATTATGTCCATAAAGTACCATTCATTGGTTTTGCATCAATGCCTGCCGTGTGTTATACACCACGTGTTATCGTTAATGATCAATAACATGTTTGATCTCAAGTTCGTATGTCTTTGTTACTTGCTTAATTTGCTGATTTGATTGTTGAGCAGGTAAAAGAAGGGCAACCGTAGCCAGACCACGAGCGTGCACTTTGTGCAGGGAATGCATCCGAGGGGGGAAAGAATGGGAAGATCGTGTATCATTACGTCGTGTTAAAGATCATTTCATTTGTAAGTATTATCTAGCATATTGAATTCATGGGATTAAGCTGTCTGAATATACAAAAAATTAGCATCTGTTGGATTCTAGTTTAAGTGTAACTAAATTCTTGTAGTAGTTCAGTTGAGAAGTAATAATTTTTAAAATGGGTTCTTATTTTTTGATTGTCAAATGTCCCTGCCTTCCAATTATATACTGATTCTCAAATGAATTACAGATTTTGATTGTAAAATGAATTAGTTTTATGAATGTTGGTAGTTTAAGATGATAGCCAGTGGTTGTGGCAAATACAAAGAATAGAGGGTCTTGCTAGTTTGACACCCGAAATAAAATTTCTATCAGGAATTATCTAAGTATCCTTCAACTAGATTTTGTGCAAATTTGGGTTTGACAAAGGAGTTCTTGATAAGAATTATTCATTACTGTTTAATTGTTCCTGAAAGATCTCACATCTATTTCTTTTTACCTGTTTTTGTCTAGTTACTATTGAATCAACTGGAGCATTACCCCCTGAAGTGCTATTTACTGAAGCTGTGAAGATTCTGGAAGATAAGTGTGAACGTGTGATTGCTGAGCTTTCTTAATGATTTGTTTTGCCATGTCCAAAAATGAGTGAAATTAGAAAATTTGTACATGATCAGTTCTGTTATTATTTAATTTTATTTTCTAAGGAACTATATTTGTGCTCTTTCCTTACTCATAGTTAAGATATGCGTGTCTGCATGGCCATGATCTGTTTTGTTCGTGCCGTCCAAATCTAGGAGCTTAATATAATTGATTTCATCAAAAGAGGATGCATTGAACCTTCGTTGATACGAATGAGATTGGATTTTGTAAAGAAAACTCAATTAGTTTGCTCTTATAAGTACGTGTCCATATAGCAAGTTGTACCACAGAACATGTGGTTTCATGGACTATCCAATCCATGTCGGTTTACGCATACTAGCATAGGAGGTGCAACATAACTCTTTGTTCCACAATAGCTTTTGGACCTGACCTGCATACAAGTTTTCCTACACTAAGTTGTTCAACTAGCGGGATATTGACTGTATTGCCATATTTACAAGAGGGCAGGATATTTTTACACCGGTGTCTAATTTGAAATTTGATACCTCATCTGATCTGAGAGCTGTTAGATCAAAAAAGATCAATGATGTCATATGCTTACAAATCAGAGTCATTGATCTTTTTTTATCTAACGGCTCTCAGATGAGGTGTCAAATTTTAAACTTGACACCGGTGTCAAAGGATCCTGCCTCTATTTACAAATATAAAATACCTGAATGCAATGCGCTCATTTTTTTTATTTTTTTCAAATTGCCATAACACCAAAGTCGCTGAATGATATAGCGGCTATAAATAAAACTTGTGCATTTTCAGTGGTCAGCAAAGCCTGGGAAGTTGTCCAACCAAAGTTGGAGGTTGTTTGTTGTGGGCCGGGCCCAAGAACTTCCTTTCCAAATATAAAATAAAAAAAGGATGGAGGGGGAATTTAAAAAAAGAGAAGAGTATAAATGAGATAAAATTTTACCCAAAATAGTAAAGGACCACAAAAAGAGAGATGGACCTGGATTATAAAAAAAAAATCCCCAAAGTTGATACATCAAGTAGTGACTTTATTTTTTTATTTTCTAACCAAAGTATGCTACTTTGGTTTTTTTTTTATTTTATAAAATACTAAAATATTTCTATTAGTGTAAGGATTAATTTGATATGTATTATATTTAAAATTAAAAATATAAATGGAATTTTAACATTAGTTTGAATATTTTTTTTGCATATTTTTTATTTTGCATAAATAGTTTGCATAAAATATATGCAAAAATAATATTCAAACTAATGTTAAAATTTCATTTAATTTTTAATTTTAAATATAAAATAAAAATATTAATTATCATGTAATTTACCTAACTAATTCATATAAGAAAAATAATATATGTCAACTAACCTATGGTTTAATTCCTACACTAATAGAAATATTTTATTATTAGGATAAATGATATTTTAATATTTTATTAAAAAAAAAAATCAAAGTAGCTATCTTACGTAGCTACTTTGGTTAGAAAAAAAAATAACAATGAAGTTGTTACCTGATGTAATGACTTTGGGGGAAGAAAAAAAAAAGACTTTGGTTGGAGAGACTTTGCTGACCATTAAAAATGCGTCATGTGTTTTGTTATATCATGTTGTGATTGTGGTGTCGTAATAGTTTGATTTTTTTATTTAGATATGTGTCATATTTTATATTTGTAAATGTTGCAGTATGATCAATCACCCTTCAACTAGCCAAAGAAAATGAGATGTTAAGATCACAGAGTAAGAGTTTAAGTGACATTGTATTATCTTTAGATTCGTCTGTTTGTGGTTGACTTTAAGAGAAAGATATACTTTTTCTAATTAAAAGATTGGAAAAAATATTTCTCCTTCTTGTATTTTGGATTTTTTTTTTTTTGCTATATAAATTTTGTTTTCAATAATTCTATTTTCTGGCACCTTTTCCAGAATGAAATAATATTTATATATATATATATTTTATTTTACTTTTGTGCTTAGGAAAAGTTCATGGGTAAAAAAATATGACAACACAACTTATTTTTATAACCAAAGATGGAGTATATTTAATAGTGCGTATTTAGTGCTAAAAATACATTCAGTGTTTAAATCTAACATGTATCTAATAAATAATGTGTCAGGAAAAAAATATTTTTTACTTTTGTCTATTTGTGTTTGTGGGATCTGGTTTACTCTTTCGAACAAAAAAATAAATCAGTTTTATCCAACTCTATTTTCAACCATTCCTGTTTTCCAGACTAAAATTAAAAATTAAAAATAAAATATTTCTAAAAATGTTGTCATGCACATCCTTAATTTCTCAATAGAATCGAAATTATCCTTTTATATAAAGTTCACCAGATTAAAGAATAAAAATAAATTACTTTTTATATTTAAAAGGTTAAGTAAATGCACACCCTAGTTTCTCAATCCTAAAAACTAAAATCAAAATCATCATTTATTTTGTAAAATTCACGAGATTGAGAAATTAAACTAATGTGGTTTTTTTATTTTTAAAAGACTAAATTAATGTAACTTTTGAGTGATTGATTTAGTGTCTTTTTATATTATTAAAGAAATACATTAATATTAATTCTATTAAATTGACTTCATTCTCCAATTTGAATGACTAAATTAATTTAACTTATTTTTTAATAATCAAATTAATATCATTGAAACCTTTTATTGCCAAAATATAATTTACCCTAATCATTGTATATCACTCAGAAACAATAGAGAAAAATAGCTTACTTATGTTATTCTTAAGGCAGCTTCACAACCTTTCAATATTAAATGAGGTGATTCTCCCTTTTGACAAATAAGTAAACTATAAAAAATTATGAATTATTAGAGCATCTTCAACGTGCATGGAAAAGCCTACAATGGTGACTAGTGTGTCATTTTGGCATTATCTATCCCTTTCTTTCCCTTTTGCCATGTTTCTTGTTCTTTCATAATTCCATCTTGTATTATTTAATATCTCTATAGTCTATAGCGTTGGCCTTTGAGAAACTTTAAGCAAAAGACAAAGGTTACCGAATATTTCTAATGCAAATTAAGTATAACGCTTTCTTATATTTGGAAAAAGGTATTGTTGACTCTTTAACTTTAATTTGTTCATCTGATCCTTCTGACATTTTCTAAGATTCAGAAAACAATTGCCAAACTTCAGGTTTCTGTAGGATTGACAAAAAGAAAGGTACTGAAAAGAGATGCAAAAAGCAAACCAAAATTATAAAATCACATAAGAGATAAGATCTCTTTATCGCTTAGGATATTATTATTATTTTTTATATTATCTATCGATTCATTGATTATCAATTAGTCCAATTTGAATCGAATAGGACCACAAGAGCGATAAAGCTTTTCCTACCAAATTTTAACATAATTGCGTTTCAAAGACTTAAACTCTAATCGACTAGTTAAGTCGGAACAATCTTTTACTAGTTGATTCACATGCTTGGTGGTGGATATCAACTTTCAAATATATACCATTCTTTCGTATAATATGTAGCACAAAAACGTGATTCTAATTATAGTATATTGATAGGAAAAATTTCAAAAATCACCCTATAAATTTTCTCAGAATCACATACCTTCTTCTGAAAATTTTGAATCATTTATCGCCTTAACTTAAAATTTTTTTATCACTTATCCCTCTAAGTTAGGGGATATGTGACAAAAAAACTTTAAGTAACGATGTAAATGATTTAAAATATTGGAGAGGTGGGTAAATAATTCTAGAGGAAACTCAAATGGGGGATTTTTGAAGTTTTTCTTCTATTTTATTGCATTTTTTTTAATATTCTAAGCAAAAATAGAAATCAATATTTTCCTAAACAATCATAACTTCATCAATGTAGTAGTTAATCTCTTATTATTTTCAAAAATTAAAAACTTTTAATTAACTTGCCATCGACGCTCTGATGTTATCTGCTAATAAACACATGATGGGGACAAACATGAGCAAAAATACCATAAAATTCTAAAACTTCGGTGCTTTGAAAATTGTTATATGATGACGAACATGTGAAACCACATCTCCAAGCATGTGAAGACCAGTCGACCATAAAGAAAGAAGAAATTTTGAAAAATTTCTTTGTATGGGTCGAAGAGATCGAGATTATTAGATTAAATCCAAACTATTTTACCACAAGGCACGAAAAAATTGTTATATCTCATGAAAGTTTATATGTATTTATAATGTAAAATATGTTTCTCATGCAGTATGAGATATTATCTCATACATAAAAAAATGGATGAGACCCACTAAGAAAAAAAAAGAAAAGAAAATGAATCTCACCTACTTTTTGTGTATGCATGAATTAACATAAGAAATATATTTCTCATTTATTACATTAGGCTTGTGTTATAGGGATATAATTATTTTATGTTGCATAAGAAAATTATCTTATGCAATAAAGACAAAGTAGTAAGGTTCACTATTTTTTTTTTAAAAAGAAAAAAGAAAAAAAAAAGAAGATAATCGATCCCACTATGTTATATTACTGCTTCGTCTAACTTTTATGCATGTATACGAGCGAGTCTCTTCCAATATGTTTCAAGATATGATCTGCGTTTCACACGTAAGTTCCTTAAATTATTCTTGCGTTTGGGATCTAGAACCTAAAACACAATTATTAGTTATTGACTTAAAAGAAAGAACAAAACTATTATTATTATTATTATTTTTATTAAAAACTATTATTATTATTATTATTATTATTATTATACTATTATTTTTCGCAGTTTATCCTTAAATATTATTTTAACGATCTTGTTTTTACTTTTGCTATTTTGTATATGGAATAAATATTTGTTCTTTTAAATGATATAACTTAATTTTATTTTAGATCCCAATCCTTGATTTCTGTCAATCAACAGTTATAATTTAAAGAATATTACTAATTAATTAATAAGTTTGACCCAATAAATTATAACTGTTGAAATTGATGAAAATGAACGGTAACGATCTAAAATTGCACAAAATTATATCCTTTAAAATAAAAAATATTTTTCCATATATATATATATATATACATATATATATATAGGGTCAGGATCATTTTACACCAGTGTAAGTTACACTCTCAATCTTGTCCGTTGATTCCATTTATATCTAACGGCTCA